CATCCGACGTGACGTCGAGAGTGACCGACTGAAAGGGAACTTGTTTTACATCTAAAAAAAGAATAAAGAAAAAAATATTTTATTTAACAGAAATTTTTAGGACCATTATGGTTTCTAATTGGAATATGTATTTTAAGAGATTATCTGCCTCTAATATAAGAATTTTAATAAATTATTACAACTGTTTTTGGCTGTCAAAAACCTTTCCATGTTCTACTCTAAAAAAAAAAAAATAGTTTAAAAGAAATAAAGCCCATTTTTACAACCATTAAGATCATTATTTTAAAGGTGCCAGAATGAAAAATCACTTTTATAAGGTGTTTGAACACAGTTGTGTGGCCGCAGCGGTGTGTGAAAACAACCAGCCTATAATGGTAAAAATCCACCCACAATTTTTTTTTATAATCCCAAGAAATCATAAACAGTCTTCCCAAACGAGCAGTTCCAGATTTCTCCATATTATGACGGTGGTTAAATTTCATTTTCAAAGGAAATGTCCCAGAAAAAAAAAAAACGGAAAAGTCCTATATGTTTGTGCTAATCATTTTACTCCGGACTGCCTCACAAAAAAGGGTCAGTTCAATGCTGGAGTTGTGCAAAGGTTGCTTCTGAAAGAGGGATCAATAGCAACGCTTCATGCGCGAACGTCCAGACTCCAGACAAAGTAAGTATCACGTGTCATATTTTGTTTTCCAAAAGAGCTTCTTGGCTCTCTGTAAGGCTAATGTTGCTAAAGCTACCATTGTCTCTGCCTGTTTTCACTGATGCTGCCTTCACGTGCTCCCAGAATGATCGTAAATAGGAATGTGGTCGTTAAAAATTGCATTTGGAAGCAATGTGAAGTCGGTAAAACATGGTCACCACCAGTGAAACCGTAACACCGGTATGCCGGAGCATGAGATCTTGAAGCTCCACCCTCTTCTGAAAAGGGAGGTGGGAGCACCAGATCATTTGCATTTAAAGGGACAAACACAAAAACGGCTCGTTTTGGTTCATACCCTAAAAGTGGCAATTTCAACAAGCTATAAACAATTATTTGTGGGGTATTTTGAGCTAAAACTTCACATACACACTCTGGGGACATCAGAGACTTATTTTACATCTTGTAAAAAGGGGCATAATAGGTCACCTTTAAATTGTAGCATTATTCTCATTGCAATAATGTGAAAACAGTGATTACTGTAATACTGTTAAATTAGAAAGAATCTGAAAAGTAAAATGTATTAGGGTAATATTTTTTATATTTTTATGTTATAAAAAAGTAGGCTTTATATAATATATTTTTATTATTATTACTTATTTAATATTTCTTTTTTAATTTTCTGTTTTTGTTAAAATTACTTAAACATGTTTTTTTTTTTGTGAGACCAAATAACTAGTAAAATTGTCAAATGTAAAGTATGGTATCTCCAGAAAACATTCAGGTCACTGTCAAACATCTGGTCTGCTGAAACTCTATCAATACCTTCGGTCAACAAAGAAGCTTGGACACTTTAAACCGCACACAGCCATCTGGCCTGGCCACTGACAGACCGCCATGTAGCCACTTTAGATGGCAGGATTATTGGGCTGTGACCGCCACGGCAGGATGCTCAGGGGACTGGGGGGTCTGTGTCCCGCCGCACAGGGAACCTGATCGGTGGGGGGATGACTGCAAAGAGCTCCGGCCTGCAGCAGCAGAATGGGCGCCTGGGGAGCAACCGCTCACAATAGGGCCTCTCAGCACCCAGACAGCAACAAACACAGGATGAGGAGGACAGAGAGGGGGAGCAGGATTGAGGAAAAGGACCATTGTCACCGCACAGATGTCCGGGTTGAAGGTATGGAGTCTGTAAAGAGGCCCAGAGAGCGCACCTGTAGGTCATCACACAGGTTAGAAGAGTGAAAAACTTATAGAATTAAAAAGAGGCAGAGGTTTCTCATGGGATCTGTCTATTTGTGAGGACAGCAGACATTTACTGAGGCCTGAAAGAAAGCACATTCTGTCCATTTGTGTGTTTGGAAGTCATACTTACCAATGAGACTCTGTACAGGTGTGTTGACTGAAGACACAAAGGAAACATTTGGCATTTTGGTATAAAAACACTCTACTTTTCTAAAAAAGTTTTTAGAAATTTCTGTGATCAAGGAGCTTTCCAGAGTTGGGAAAGCTACTTAGAAACTATATAAAGGAGTTTCTTCTGAAATTCCTTAGGAGAAATAAAAATACCAGAAAACAAATAAAAACACAGTATAAGTATATAGATATAAACAAATGTGAATAGAAATGGACGATAAATTATTTTAAAAAATATATATTAAAAACACCCTAAGTATGCTTTGAAACGATATGTACTGCGAAAAGAGCTATACAAATACACATGACTTGACTGTACTCATTTATATAAAAGGAATTAAATGCATAAACACTTTGCAAGTGACACTGTTATAAAAAAAAATAAAATAAATACATTTCAAATAAATGCTCTTTTGCACTTTCTATTCACCAAAGTATTATGGTTTCCACAAAGTATTAAAATTTTTTTCAACATTGATAATAATAAGAAATGTTTCTTAAGCAGCAAATCAGCATATTAGATTGATTTCTGAAGGATCATGTGACACTGATCACATCACAGCTTTGAATCAAGGAATAAATTCCATTTTAAAATATATTAAAATAGAAAACATTTTTTTTGTTTGTTTGTTTAAAGTCTTTTTATTAATATTTTACATAATATAACAACATTTTCAAAAGAAAAATTATAAAAAAAGATGTCTTGCTCCAACAGAGACCCCCCCCCCCTTGCACCACTGTACCCTATTGTTATTTATAAACATATATATACACATAGATACATATACACGCGTTCATTCATATATTATACATATATGTACATTGAACCAGAATAGATTTTAAAAAATAAAAAAGGGAGGGAATGAGAAGAGAAAAAATGACATCAAAATTCAGCAGAAAATATTAAATTTGGATCCATTTGCTCTATGTATGTCAGCACTGGCTGCCAAATAGAGAAAAAAGTTTGACTGCAGCCTTTAATGGAGTATCGAATCTTCTCTAATGCAAGGTGGTACATAAGATCCCTAATCCATTGACTAAAAGTAGGTGGAGATTTGTCCTTCCACTTACGCAATATAAGACGTCTGGCTATTAAAGTTGAAAAAGAAATCATGTTTTTTGTATTATTATCTAAACAAAGTTCTGTAGTTAAACCAAATATTGCAAGAATAGGAGAAGGATCAATAGATAAATACAGGACTTCTGAAAGAAAATTAAATATTAATTGCCAAAAATTAACAAGCTTAGAACATGACCAAAACATGTGCGTATGATTAGCTATCTCAACTCTACACCTGTCACACAAAGAATTTATATTTGGTGAAAATTTTGCTAGTTTTGCTTTTGTCCAGTGTAGGCGGTGAACCACTTTAAACTGAATAATTGTATGTCGTAGACAAATTGAAGTTGAATGAATCTTATTTATAATATCCTGCCATGTTTCCTCTGGGAAAAGCAAATCAAGTTCACTTTCCCATTGTTGCTTTGATTTAGTTAAGGATGTTAAATTTTGTGAAGAAATCAGAGAATATATCAAACCTATATTATTTTTGGAGAGTGGGTTGATTTTTAGAATTGTATCAAGTAGTGATTCTGTAGGTAGAACTGGAAAATCCAGAGTGTGTGTTAGAATAAAGCTGCGAATCTGTAAATATCTAAAGAAATGTGTTTGTGGAATATTATATTTTGCTCTTATTTGAGAAAATGACATAAAGCTACAATCACTATATAGATCCTTCAGTGTGACAAGTCCTTTCTCTACCCAGCAATTAAAAGCAGCATCTATAATCGAAGGAGGAAACATATGATTTCTCATGATAGGAGCTTGCATTGAGAGATCAGTAAGCGAAAAGGCTCGTCTAAACTGATTCCATATTTTAAGAGATGCTCTAACAATTGGATTTAGAGAATATCTAGACACTGGGTCAGAAAGAGGAATCTTTGTACAAAGTAAAGCAGATAATGCAGATTTACAAGAAGCTTTTTCAAACAACAGCCATGCTGGACTGTCAGAAGAGTTAACCCAGTACAACATAAATTTAATATTAGAAGCCCAATAGTATTGTTGAAAATTCGAGAGAGACAGTCCAACACAAGAACAATGTCTTTGCAGTATATTTTTACGCATCCGAGGTGTTTAAGGTGTCTATGTTCATAAAAAAAGATTTTGTTAAAAAAATAGGGAGACTTTGGAACAAAAACAAAAACCTAGGCAGCATATTCATTTTGACGGTGTTAATTCTACCTCCTAAAGATAATAAGAGCAGGTTCCAACGGTCAAGATCCTGTTTTAAATTGTTTATAAGTGGGCAGAAATTAGCTTTATAAAGTTTATGATATTGACTAACCCAACCGTTGGGTTAAATTTTAACATTACATTTTTAACCCAACAGTTGGGTTAGTCCATATTTGACCCAAAGTTGGGTTGAAACAACCCAGCATTTTTTAAAGTGTAAGTATTTACATTTTTTAGTACTTATTTTTAAATGGAAAATAATTAGATAGTATTGAATGTGATGTAAAATGTATGGGCATGAGCTCACTTTCCTGCATATTAATTTTATATCCAGAAATGTTGCCAAAGTCGCTTAACAGTTCAATCAGAGCTGGTAAGCTTGTAAGTGGATGAGACAAGTACACAAGCATATCGTCAGCATAGAGAGAAACTTTATGTTCAATATCTTCTCCATGTATTCCTTTAATGGTACTCCTCTCGCGTAAAGCCACGGCTAGCGGTTCAATTACCAACGCAAACAAAAGAGGAGACAAAGGACAACCCTGTCTTGTACCACGTTGTAGAGAAAAAAAGGAGATAAGTTATTATTTGTACGTACTGCTGCTACTGGTGAAGTATAAAGAACTTTAATCCAATGTCTAAATTTTGAACCAAACCCAAATTTTCCCAGAACATAAAAAAGAAAGTCCCACTCCACCCTGTCAAATGCTTTCTCAGCATCGAGTGATAGTAATACCTCCGAAACACTAGATGGAGTGGTATCGTAAAGAATATTTAAGAGCCGACGTATATTAAAAAACAATTGTCGATTTTTTATAAATCCAGTTTGGTAGTTGGATATTATAGAAGGCAGAACATTCTCTAACCTTCGAGCTAACATTTTAGTCAGAATTTTACTGTCCACATTGAGGAGGGAGATAGGGCGATAAGAGCCACAGTCAAGAGGATCTTTCTTTTTCTTGAAAATAAGTGATATGACTGCTTGTTGCATAGTAGGAGGCAGAGTACCAGAGGAAAAAGATTCCTCAAATACGTTTGATAATAGTGGAGATAATTCATTCTTAAATTTTTTATAGAACTCGCTCGGAAACCCATCAGGACCAGGTGACTTTGCATTTTGCATTGACATTATTGAGACATTTATTTCTTCAACTGAAAAAGGGGTTTCAAGTTCAGCTGCAGTCTCACTTCTTTGTCTTGAAAATAAGTGATATGACTGCTTGTTGCATAGTAGGAGGCAGAGTACCAGAGGAAAAAGATTCCTCAAATACGTTTGATAATAGTGGAGATAATTCATTCTTAAATATTTTATAGAACTCGCTCGGAAACCCTTCAGGACCAGGTGACTGCATTTTGCATTGACATTATTGAGGCATTTATTTCTTCAACTGAAAAAAGGGTTTCAAGTTCAGCTGCAGTCTCACTATCAATTGAAGGTATAGTAATTTTATCAAAAAATTATGAGAACAAATTCTCATCTTTATGAGATTCAGAAGTATATAGTTCTGAGTAGAACTAACTAAAACAATGGTTGATCTGTAAATGTTCCGTACATTTATTGCCTAATTTATCTTTTATTTGAGTTATAGTGCGATCTGCTGTCTTTTGCCTCAGTTGGTGAGCTAAAACTCTGCCAGTTTTCTCACCGTATTCATATGTTCTATAACGTGTTTTGTTCATCAAGTTCTCAATACGTTTAGTACTTAAAAGGTTGTATTCTGTTTGAAGTGATAATCTTTGTTTGTTTAGAGCAGGTGATGGTGTAAGGGCCAGGGTAGCATCTAATTTTAGTATAGTGTTTGTTAATTCCTCAAGTCTGGCTGTTTGTATTTTTCTAATGTGGGAACTATAAGATATTATTTCTCCTCTTAAGTATGCTTTCATTGCTTCCCATATAACTGAGAAAGGCATTTCCGGTGTTTGATTATGTTCGAGAAATATTTGGGACAATATCTGTCGTATGTAACTGGTATACACATAGTCATTAATAAAGGGGCATGGTCTGAAATAACAATAGCACAATACTCACAATAGCTAATCAAAGGGAGAAGATTCTTATCTAGGAAAAAATAGTCTATACGCGAATATGTCTGATGAACAGGTGAGAAGAAAGAATAACTTTTAGATCCAGGATTACGAAATCGCCAGACATCAGATATCCCATATGTGTCTAGAAATAATTTAATGGCATCAGCTGACTTGGAGGGATTGGCAGTTTTGACAGAACTACGATCTAAATAAGAAGACATTACACAGTTCATATCTCCTCCTAATATCAAATAATGTGTGTCCAGATTTGGTAATCTGGAGAAGATATTTGTGAAAAAAAGACTATCATCATAGTTTGGTGCAAAATACACGTTTGCTAGAATTACTGATATATTACAGAGTTTACTAACTACAATGACAAAACGACCTGCAGGGTCTGCTTCAACCATTGAGGTCTCAAATGGGATGTTTTTTTCAATAAGAATTGCTGTGCCTCTAGATTTAGAATTAAAATTAGAGTGATATAACTGACCTACCCAATCACACTTTAATCTAGAATGATCTGTTTTACATAGATGAGTTTCCTGAAGAAAGGCAATCCCCACCTTAAGTTGTTTTAAATGTAAAAGTACATTTTAAAACAAAGTCATCTACTCACCAATTGTGAAAGACAGAATAAAATAATAATAATTAAATAAATAAATAAATAAAAATTCTGTCCTACGTAACACACCTTAAGTGTGTATAATCTGTCCTATATGCAGCATTGCCTGTCAAACGTCAAGTATGCGTATTCTGTCCTCAACAACTTTAGTGTCTGCTATTCAGCCTTATCCGGGACGATGTTTCTCTTCACAAACGCCATGGCTTCCACCGGGTCGCAAAATTCCTTCTCGTTGCCATTGTAAGTGATCCTAAGTTTCGCTGGATGGAAGATACCGTAGCGCACTCCGTCTCGACCTCGAAGCAACTTCTTAACATCATTAAACGCGGATCGTGCACGAGGATTCAGAAGTATATAGTTCTGAGTAGAACTCATAAAAACAATGGTTGATCTGTAAATGTTCCGTACATTTATTGCCTAATTTATCTTTTATTTGAGTTATAGTGCGATCTGCTGTCTTTTGCCTCAGTTAGTGAGCTAAAACTCTGCCAGTTTTCTCACCGTATTCATATGTTCTAAAACGTGTTTTGTTCATCAAGTTCTCAATGCGTTTAGTACTTAAAAGGTTGTATTCTGTTTGAAGTGATAATCTTTGTTTGTTTAGAGCCGGTGATGGTGTAAGGGCCAGGGTAGCATCTAATTTTAGTATAGTGTTTGTTAATTCCTCAAGTCTGGCTGTTTGTATTTTTCTAATGTGGGAACTATAAGATATTATTTCTCCTCTTAAGTATGCTTTCATTGCTTCCCATATAACTGAGAAAGGCATTTCCGGTGTTTGATTATGTTCGAGAAATATTTGGGACAATATCTGTCGTATGTAACTGGTATACACATAGTCATTAATAAAGGGGCATGGTCTGAAATAACAATAGCACAATACTCACAATAGCTAATCAAAGGGAGAAGATTCTTATCTAGGAAAAAATAGTCTATACGCGAATATGTCTGATGAACAGGTGAGAAAAAAGAATAACTTTTACATCCAGGATTACGAAATCGCCAGACATCAGATATCCCATACTCGACCTCGAAGCAACTTCTTAACATCATTAAACGCGGATCGTGCACGAGCCACGCTGGGAGGATAGTCTGGAAATATGAGAATTGTGGATCTTTTGAATTGAAGGGGTCCGGCCTAACTAGCTCTGCGGAGAATCTCGACACAGTCCTTGTAATAATGCAATTTGGCCACAATTACCCGAGGTTTAGCACCAGGCTGCCTTGGCTGGAGGCCGCGATGTGATCTATCCACGAGCACTTCCCTATCCATACCTAGGACTTCTTTTAGCAGCTTTGAGACCGAGTCTGGAGAGCTCGAACCTGGACCCTCTGCCACGTTCAGTATACGGATGTTTGACCTCCTCATCCTCCCCTCCATATCAATGCATTTCTCCTGCAAAGACGCAACAGCCGTTTCGAGTTTGCTCACAGATCCTTGTAATGATGTCACATCGTCCGAACACGCTGATAGTCCGTGTTCCATATCGGTTACTGTCTTTTTCATAGATTCCAGATCCGAGCGTAACAGTGCGATGTTACCAACGACCTCCGTTTTGACGGCGTGCAATTCTGACCTCATGTTTTTAAATTCGTCCACGAGAACAGTCTTCAATTCAGCCCTGAGCAGCGTGGGGATATCATTTCTCAACAGCGACAGGATCTCTGCTTTCGTATCCGCCATTTCAGTTTGTTTCTCCGGCGATTTCTGTTCGCTGCACGAAGCGCCAGGCCTACTCGCAATACTCTTCCCTGTGTAGGTGTACTGTCGCAGACTTTTAGCCATTTACGTACCGCAGTAAAGAAAAAAAAGTTGAGATTCCAAAACAGAACGTTTTAGTGCCAATTTTAAAACGTAAAACGCCCAAAATTATAATTAACTTAATAACATTTAGCGGAGCTCACCCAAAACACAACCTACTCCATGCCTGCTCACTAGCACCCCTCAGAAAACATTTATTTTAATAATATTTTACAATATTCATTTTTATTTTATTTTTGATCAAGTACATGAGGCTTTGGTGAGCATAAAAAGCATAAAAAACAGTAGTTTAACAGTAGTTTGAACAGCAGTTTAAGTTGGATAAAAGTATTTGCCAAATGCATAAATATAATGATAAACTGCAGTATCTAGCATGAAATGTAGTTAAACTTTTTAAAGCATTTTAGTACACCCGAAGTTTTCTTCCAGTAACATTGCGCTGATGCATATGACCCAAGCATGTTAATACCATCTTAATAAAAAAAAATTCTACAATATTGTTTGTTGAAGCAGTCAAGTCCTTCTAAATGAAAGAGATCAGGCCGCGTCAGGCCTCGCTAAACTGAATCTTTATCTGATGCTACAATCTGTTCTCTGAACATCTGGCTACAACACACACAGAGGAAACTAAATCAATATACAGTCATAGTCCTCTGCCCACCCCCTCAGCTCCATCACGGCCAGCGTTAATCCATGCTAAGCACAGAGTGATCTTCCTGCTCTGGTCTCCACACACGGCTGGTGCCAGAGCTAAGCTCAGTTTACTGCTTGCTCACTCGCTCTCTAAGTGCATGTGATGAGGGCTCCCTGCTGCGGGGCTCCGCTGCCACATCGGAAGGCGCCACAGACTGCAGAGTCCAAGATGCACAGACAGCGCTTATGACACACGTGTACGCTAATATAAACACATGCAAAGACAGATGATAAGAATCCACACATGCACCATTATGTCCACAAACATACACTCCAGTTTAGGCCAGGGGTTCCCAAACTTTTTTTGTCAGCCAAATCCCTTAGACAGAAAATATTTACTTGAAGTACCCCCTGTGAATTTAAGTTAAAATTTAAATTATTTAACAACACATTTGCATGTTCATGGTTCTCTGACGTTGGTTAATGGTCACATGGCATACAAATAATTATATATATATATATATATATAATTACTATATATAAAAGGATAGTTGTAAATTATGTTGTGCTTTCAGTTTAATACCAATACATTTTGCAGTCCCATTTTAATATTGCATTAGATTTTATTCATTATTAGCTTTTTATAAACTCAACTCCCCCCCCACCCCCTGTCAGTTACTTTGATGGATGCATGAGGTGGCATGCATCGGTGCAATGGACGTAGATAGATGTGACACAGCTGGGGAAGGGAAGGGTGATGACGTGCTTTAGAATAGGAGGATTAGTGGCTCTATTAGACTCTGTATGGGGCTCAATTACAGCGTCCCCTGCATCCAGTACCCAGAGGGGTGAAATTACATGCTCTGACAGGGTACAGTGTCTCAGTGCTGGGGGTGAGCTGTGATGGATAACCACTGACCCAGACAGGGGTCACGTCTGTCAGATGAAATCCTCGGTAGCACTGGGTTCAATACGTGTTACAATACATATCATCACTGCATGTGTTTAACCTCCATTATATAGACAGACAACAGAGCATGTTTACATGCACATCATTTTCTGATTAAGGTCCATTTTCTGGTTAAGTCTTCATTCTGAAACATGCTCTACACAGCTACTCCTGAATACGTATTCAGCATATTCTGAACAAACTAAGACTTGCATATTTAATTCCCACTATACTGTAGTGACTCAAAATTATAATTAACACATGAATATGCCAGCCGTCTTATTCAGATTTTTGGAAACCAAATATTGATTTAATCAGGTTATAACAATCAACGCATTTTCACGATGCATTCATAATCAGAATATGACCTTGTAAATGCCGTCATTGATGATAACAGTCTTTTATTGAGCAGAATTTTATGTAAACTGTTTATCCCGACTGCCCTGATCTGATTAAGCCAATATGAAGAATAATGTTGTGCAATGTATGCCTTATTCATAATATATATGGTCAATTGGTTAATTGCGCTCCAGTTTGCTGTTGTCAAAGACATAAATGAAAATTAATGAGCTGACTAAAATATTGTGCAGAATTACTAAAAATAAATTAAAATAAATAGCTATAAACAGCATACCCTTGACAGTAAAAGATTACTGTTATGTATTGTACAATATGTTATGTTTGTATTTTTTGTTATTATTATTTATGTAGGTGGTGTTGCAAGAAGGGAACTTTTCCCAATTTGAAAAGTGAATTACATCATCTGCGATTCCTAATAAAAACCTAGATGGCAGATATGGTATCTCTGTTTCCATTACTCGTATTACTCATAATCTCTCATGCCTTTTCATCTAGTGATTAGTTAGTTAGTTAGTTATGTAGCAATTTATGCTTGGTATATGGGTTGCTACCTGTTCATTGCTGTGTAATATGTTTTTGAATGAGAGAATATGTGTTTGTAATTTCTTGTAGTGGATTGTGTTGGTTAATTACTTGTGTTGATTGTTTATTATTTTTTTGGTCACACTTTACTTTGGGCAACAATTATCACTATTAACTATGACCTTTGCTTCGATAATCTCCTAATTTGCTTCTTATTAATAGTTAAATTTAAGTTAAGTTTAGGTATGGGGTAGGATTAAGGGATCTAAAATGTGGTAAGCAAGGTATTAATATGTGCTTTATAAATGCTAATAAACAGCCGTTATGCTAGGAATATGCATGCTGATAAGCTAATAAATAAGTTAATAGTGGGAATTGGTCCCTAAACTGATGTGTTACCTATTTTTCTAGTATAAAGTTATGGAACTTTTTTCAATATATTTAAAATGTCCATGTTTTTATGTATGTTTTGGTCTTAATATGCTGACTACCAAAACTACTAAATTACACAGAATAAAGATGAAACCAGCATGTGCATGAGCACTAATCTGAATATTTGGACGGCTGGGTTATGAAAACCATGTCATTGTATTGACAGATACATTATTGGAAAATCAGCTAATTCCGTTTCATTTACAAAACTTTACAGGGCCAAAAGTGGCCATAGCTGAAGAAATATCTATGAATATAAAAGTGATTCTTCATGATTCACTGTAAAGATCTCCCGCTGGCTCACATCATTACACTCTGACTACAGTAAGTGGTCTGATCTGACAGGACTCATCTTGAAGTCTCCTCTGAGCTGGATAAGTGGAAACACACTCAAAGTTCAGTCAACATGAACGCACACTCCATGTGCCTGTGAATAAAACCACAAAATACTGCTAGTGTGATTCAAAGATGAGCACTGGGGAAAGGCTTTTGTGTGTATTCATGAGTGATAGGGTGTGTTTGGCTTGGGAATTGTATGAGCGGAGCATTTGATTAAAGGGGTCATATGATGCTGCTAAAAAGAACATTATTTTGTGTATTCGGTGTAATGAAATGTGTTTATGCGGTTTAAGGTTCAAAAGACACATTATTTTCCACATACTGTACATTATTGTTACTACTCTATGCCCCGTCTTTCTGAAACGCGTTGATTTTTACAAAGCTCATCGGTCTGAAAAAAGCGAGGTGTGCT